ACGCACGCACGCGCGAAGGAACGCACGCACGCACGCACGCACGCACGCACGCACGCACGCACGCACGCACGCACGCACGCACGCACACACACACACACACACACACAGACACACACACACACACACACGCACGCACGCACGCACGTACGCACACACCACACACACACACACGCACGCACGCACGCACACACACACAACACACACCACACACGCACGCACGCACGCACGCACACACACACACACACACGCACACACACACACACACACACACACACACACACACACGCACACACAAGCACACACACACACACACACACGCTGTCCACCAAAAACCAAAGCGGCCGTGCGACACGGTCTGGCCCAGGCCAGAAGATCACCCCTCAAGAGCATGAGAGCCTCCACCGGCCAAAACACACAGAGCATCCAAGGGAGCCCTCCCCAGGATGCACAGGATCATCCAACAAACACAAAGAACACTCGGGCACCCTCCCCGAACCGACCTCGACCTTATACCTCGGTCCGACGGACGCCTGGTTTGTCGACCATCACTCGGACCTCTGGTGGCCGTTCGGGACCATCCCAGCATCCCCGGCACGCTCTCAGCGCGGCGCAGCTGCTGGCAAGCCTCCCAAGGCTAGGAAACGGCCGAGGACCGACGAACCCTCGCACCCTCTCCGAACCGAGGTCGATCTTTCTACCTCGGTTCGGCTGTAGGAAGCCCGGGCGAACCAGCAGCCGGCGGCGAACATCGGCCAGTGCTAGTCGCCGCCTTCCTCCCTGGCTGCTTCCCTCTGCATCCTCGAAGACTGTGCGCCCGACCCCCGTCCTCCTCCTCTTCCTCTGCATGCCTCCTCCATCTCCTCCTCCTCCTCCTCCTCCTCCTCCATTCCATTTCCTTATAAATAGCTTCTCCCTGTCGCACCCCGGAGCCAATCTTTAGGGCGGGCCGGGCGTTTCGCCTGAAACCTTCTCACCGTTCATGAAAGTGAAGCTTGAAACATCACACCAGTTTCAAAGAAGAGGGGAGGTGGTTTTCAAAATGCGGTTATCGCCTTAGCGCGGCGCACATTCAACATCTGCAAGAGCTTCACGGATTGAGGGCGGGTGGTTATCAAAATGTGGCTCTCGTCTTCAAGCGACGCACATTCGTTTAACACAAATTGCAAGAGCTTCACGGATTGAGGGCGGGCCATTTTCAAAATGTGGCTCTCGCCTTCGCGCGGCGCACGCTCGTATTAAAAATGTGCAAGAGTTTCACGGATTGAGGGCGGTTCCTTTTTAACATGTGACTCTCGCCTTAGCGTGGCGCACATTCGTTAAACAAACATTGCAATAGCTTCAAATATTGAGTGTGGGCCGTTTTCAAAATGTGACTCTCGCCTAAGCGCGGCGCACATTTGTTGTAAACAGTTGCAGGAACTCAGCAGAATGAGGCGTTTCCTGTTCAAAATGTGGCTCTCGCCTAAGCGCGGCGCACATTCGTTGTAAACAGTTGCAGGAACTTAGCGGAATGAGGCGTTTCCTGTTCAAAATGTGGCTCTCGCCTAAGCGCCGCGCACATTCGCCTTGGAAGTTCGCAAGAGTTTCACGGATTTCCATCATCAACGTAAGAGAAATGGTGTTTTGGAAAGATTCGGGACTACACGTGCGCAACAATTACGGATCCAGGACTACGTGTTGAAGTCCCAAGAATGGCGTTCTGGAACGATTCTGGATCGTCACCAAGCAACAGTCAGGTTGATGCGTGACGTTAGAATCCCGAACACAACGTTTTGGCATGCTGCAGGGTCTTCATACGGTTGTCTTCCAACGGGGCAGATCCCTCAATTGAAGTGAACCGTTGTAAGGGGGCCTATGAAGAGGGAGCTTGGAGGGAGGGTCTGTTCCAACATCGTCAATGCGTCTCTTCGAACGTCACTCGTCCTTGTTGCCCCCTCCTCTGCCTCCGTCCTCCGACGCTTCCTTCTTACTTACCCTCCTCCCTCCAAATTGTCGTCTGTCATCCTCCTCGTTCTGCCGTCTCCTCCTCCTCCTCTCCCCCATCGCTGCCGCCCTCGTCGGCGTCGTCGTGGTCGCCGCCTTCGTCGCCGCTTCCGTCGTCGTCGCTGTCGCCGCCCTCGCCGCCGCCGCCGACGCCGCAAGCGCGGCCGCCGACGCCGTACAGTCGGGGCGCTGAAGAAGGAACCCTTTTCGTTGGGGAGGGGCTCGGTGTTCCTTAATTGTCCCACACCTTGCCCAACGTTTTCCTGAAGTTTTTGGTGGGAAGTCGAAGGTTAACTTATGACAATAAGGGGCTTCGTTCCTTATTTAGGGTTCCTTAGGTCAACGCCCCGACTGTAAGCGCGGCCGCCGACGCCGTCGACGGGGCCGCCGCCGCCGCCGTGCTCGCCGTGCTCGCCGCCGCCGGGCGGAGCGCCCCCCCGGGGCGCTCTTCCACGGCGGCGCCGCCCCCCCCGCGCGAAGGGGGCCTCGACGTGGTGCGCCGGCTTGGAGCCCTGGCCTGTGCGCCGGAGAGGGTTTCGGCCGCCTCCCAGGAGGAGGAGGAGGAGGAGGAGGAGGAGGAGGAGGAGGAGGAGGAGGAGGAGGAGGAGAAGACGGACGAGGAGAAGGAGGAGGAGGAAGAGGAATGAACCCTTTGACTGGACGCCCGAAACGGGTACGGAAGAACTGGGTACGATGCCCAACAGCAAGTGTTGTCCAAAACCGACCACGGCCGCTGTTGGGCAGGCGGCCTTCCGTCTCAGCACCGACAGCGAATCCGGTCCAGAAGGACCCAGAAATGCTGTCGGTCTTTGTGCCCATCTTTCAAAACTCCGAGTTTCTCAAGAAGCGTCGGGGGGGCGTCACCCCCGCCGACAGCCTCACATGGACCCCCGTTGCGGGCAGCCACTGCTCGCCGAAGGCGCTCCGACCCCCGTCGCGGCGCGACGACGACGCGAGATTAACCCCGTCGGGGAGTACCCCCCCACGCTTGTTAAGAAATCCAGAGAACTAATGTCAATCGTCCCGGCTTGAGCGACAGGAAAAAAAGGCTTACGCGAGATGGAACCGCAACCTTGCGCGGTGGTTTACGCATGCCCCCAGCGCGGGACGCCAAGTTGAAGACGAGGGCGCTCAGGCAAGACCTTTCGCAGGCAACTTACGCGCCAATGTCGGCGCAATCGACCACGTTTTCGCTGCCCGTTGCGTCGCCCAGTTGATTTGCTGCCCGTTCAAGTCTATGCTCCAACTCACACGCACAATAATTTCATGCCATGCTCTGAGCGCGCTCCTTCCGCCCCCGACTTCCTCTCCCTCCTTCACGCCGCTCCCTCTCCAGTTGTGCCTGTTTCCGCCCCGCCGTGCCCCCCAGACAACGGCTTGGTGCCAAGCTACCGCGATCAAGTGCGCCGAACATGGGCGGAAGAGACAGGGGTGGGGGCAAGCTGGATGCGTTCGCGGGATATCTGACATCCTTTTGCGGCAACTCATCGGAGCCTCAAACACCCTTTTGGTGGCTCTTTCGAATCGACGCCGGTCGAGGCTACATCGGCGCAAAATCTACGCGAGTCAATGCGAATCGGCGTTAGCTGATTGATTAGCGGACGCGAGTCGACGCTGGTGCACACGGAAGCGGAACTACAAAGATATACAAGGCTCTCGTGACTTTCTGATGAAACATCCTACCCTTTCAACCCACACCTCCCCAGTGACTTGAATTTCTCTCTATCCGCACACGAGTATCACCGCGGACCTGGAACTCCAACGAAAGATCCCGTGGTGCAATTCATGCGAAATTGGAAAATGGCAGGATATCGGGGGGAAGGGAGGGAAGGGATGGTCTCGGAGACAGTGTTAGGCCGCGGGCTGGAGGTGAAAAGTTCGGAGGTCAAAAGCTGGTGGATGCTGGGGGCTCGCAATCTGTCACTTGGAGGCTGGTCGTGCGAGGGTTGTGGTCCACAGATATAGAGGTGTCGAGAGCTGGAGGTTGCGCAGGAGTCGACATAATCAGTGCGGATGCGAAGCAAGGGCAATCGGGCCACGCCACTCGGAGTGTACCTGTGTGCGCGGACAGAAAACACCTGGGCGACACAACCCGAAGGGAGGTGCCAAAGGTGCCCGCATGAACTCACATGCATTCGGACCTCGCAACACGAACGGCGGCACAGACCCGCCCCAGGCGTCACATCTGCGCCGCCGTTGCGAGGTGTCTCGAGATGCCACCCCGAGACACGGCCACCGGCACCACCCCCACTTGGCCGCCCGCCTCAAGCAGCGGAGGCCCCGCTGGGCGGCATCGCGACAGCGGCGGCCAGCGGGCGCGCGGCGGGCGGCTGGGAGACCGGGCCCCAAAGGAAGCGGGCCCCTTCCCCCAGGAGCAGCGCTTCGCCGTGAGCCGCTCTGATGGACCACGATACCACAGGACACCATCCCACATACGACTAGCGGCTTCAGGCGGATTCTGGACGAAGAATGAAAATAACCAGACAAATCATAATTGTTTTTTTCTTTTTCTTTTTTCCTTATATATATGTATATATATATACACACAAAAAAAACGGGACCAAAAGGTACCGATGTCGCTACTCCCCGGACCCCTCCATGGGCGAGTTATGATCAGGATTGCGAGGCGGATCCAGCGGTGGCGACGATGGCCGCCCAGGGGACCCAAGAAAAAATAACACCATGAACGTGCATACGTATGGGTACCCTTTCCTCTTTTGAAAGAACTGTCCCCAGACAATTCTGTGCTAATTCTGGAATTTTCTTCCTGCATAGGGACATGACCGGCGTAAACCAAAACGCCAGACGACACCACCCCACCTACGACCCAAACCTATCGTATACCAATATTGTAGCACATCGCTCCCCGAGCGCACGCCACGACGCATGTACTTCGAATGAATTCTCGATGCGCGTTGCCCCTCGACCCGCCGCAGCCGCCGCCGCCGCGACAGCCCCTGGGGAGAAGTCGGCTACGAACGAAATTTGGGAAAAGAGCGGGGAGGAGGAGGAGGGGGAGGAGGGATTAGGAGGAGGAGGGGGGGGAGGAGGAGGAGGAGGAGGAGGAGGAGGAGGAGGAGGAGGAGGAGGAAGAGGAGGAGGAGGAGGAGATTTCTCGATGCGCGTTGCCCCATCGACCCTCGGTCGTCCTCATCGTAATCGCGACAGCCGCCGCCGCCGTCGTCGCCGCCGCCGCCGTCGCCACCGTCCTCGGCCTCCTCCTCTGGTTAGGCAGGGGGTTGGGGCAACTCCAGGATGATCGCCCATTTGGGATATTGGGAATGGTTCATCCTGGTCCGTGGTGGTGTGGAATAATTCATACAATGTCTGCGGTACCAAAAAGAAAGTCAACACGCCCGTTGTGGCCCCATGTGCATGCCCTTCGTGGCCCCGCTGGCCCAGTTGCTATCCTCAGTGGCCCCATCGTTGCCTTCTGTGGCCCCACATTATCTGCCATTCGTGGCCCCCGCTCGTTCGCGCTTTTCGTGGCCCCGCACGCATTCCCTTCGTGTCCCCGCTGTCGCCCTTCGTGGCCTACTTCGTGTCCTTCGTGGCCCTGCTGTCATTCTCTCTCGCTCTCGCTTTCGCTCGTCGTCGCCGTCGTCGTCGTCGCCGTCGTCGTCGCCGTCGTCGTCTTCGTCGTCGTGGTCGGTCGTTTGTCCGTCCCTCTTGGGGTCGGGTCGACGGTCCGCGGCCGCCCCGCCGATCAGCGCTGCCGCTGTGACGGTCCGCGGCCGCCCCGCCGCTTGCCCGGGCCCAGCCTGCAGGGAAGAAATGTCGACCCCCCAAAAGGAGTTCGATCGAAGACGAAGAGGGCGGGTATCGAGGGTTTGGGAAATTCGCCTTATTGGACAGTCGAGCAGATAAGGGCGGACAGTTTTAAAATTACTGTTGTTGTCATTGTTAGCATTATTATGTGTATGCCCCCTCTTCTTGTTGAACTCTCATTTCCGAGGAGTAACTATTGTTGACCCCCCCCCACCGGTGCATACTGTTTCTTCTCAAAGTGTGCCCCTCGACGTGCGCACCCTGTTCTGACAAGGGAAATATTGATGCTCAAACTTCGCCCCTGGCCCGCGGGTTACAACAATCACGGTTCCCGCCTGAGACCTCCTTACAATTTAGCCAGGACCCCCGCTCCCGCCCGAGACTTCCTCGCACTTGATTATGGGATCGCTGTCTCGCTTGGGACGTCCTTACAATTTATTCAATAATCGTTCTCCCGGCGCTCTGGGGTCGCGCCTTCGCTGGAGACAAGCTTGCACGCTACTGACGAGTAGCGCCTTTGCGTTCGAATTTCCCGCGCTCCCGACACCCAAGCGCCCAGGAGTCGCGCTCACGCTTAGGGCTCCCTCGCAGATTACCTAGGAATCGGGATCTCGCCGCCCTTCGTGGCCCCGTTGCAGCCCTTCGTGGTCCCCTCGCTTTGTTTCGCGGCCCCGTTGCAGCCATTCGTGGCCCCTCTCGCTTTGTTTCGTGGCCCCGTTGCAGGCCCTCGTGGCCTCCTCGCTGCCAGTCGTGGCCCCGTTGCAGCCCCCCGTGGCCCCCTCGCTCCCTTTCGCGGCCCCGTTGCAGCCCTTCGTGGCCCCCCCGCTGCCCTTCGTGGCCCCATATGTGTATGCCCTTCGTGGCCCCAGCTCGTTCGCGCCCGTGGTGGCCCCATGTGCATGCCCTTCGTGGCCCCGTTGTCGCCCTTCATGGCCCCCTCGCTGCCCTTCGTGGCCCCGTTGCTGCCCCCAGTGGCCCCGTCCTTGCCCTCCGCGGCCCTACATACGTATGCCCTTCGTGGCCCCCGCTCGTTCGCGCCCGTTGTGGCCCCATGTGCATGCCCTTCGTGGCCCCGCTGTCGCTGCTTGTGGCCCCCATCGCTGTCCTACGTGGCCCAGTTGCTACCGTCAGTGGCCCCATCGTTGCCTTCTGTGGCCCCGCATTATTTGCCGCTCGTGGCCCCCATTCGTTCGCGCTTTTCGTGGCCCCGCACGCATTCCCTTCGTGCCCCCGCTGTCGCCCTTCGTGGCCTACTTCGTGTCCTTCGTGGCCCTGCTGTCATTCTCTCTCGCTCTCGCTTTCGCTCGTCGTCGCCGTTGCCGTCGCCGTCGCCGTCGCCGTCGTCGTCAACGTCGTCGTCGTCGTCGTCGTCGTCGTCGTCGTCGTCGTCGTCGTCGTGGTCGGTCCCCTGTCCGTCCTTCTTGGGGTCGGGTCGACGGTCCGCGGCCGCCCCGCCGATCAGCGCTGCCGCTGGCCAGGCCGACGGTCCGCGGCCGCCGCGCCGCTTGCCGGGGACCCCCCCAAAAGGGTTTCGATCGAAGGCGAAAAAGGCGGGTATCGAGGGTTTGGGAAATACGCGTTATTGGACACTCGAGCAGATAATGGCGAACACTATTAAAATTATCGTTGTTGTGTTTCTTCTTCTTCGTTTTCTTGTTGCTGTTGTTTGTTGTCGTCGTCCCACCCGCGACCCCCCCGCGACCCACTCCGCGACCCACCCGCGACCCACCTTGTGACCCACCCGCGACC